AAACTCAGCGAGGCGTTTGGAGTAAAGACAGGAGTCAGACAAGGGTGCTCGCTTATTATCACCAATGATATTCGTAATTGTGGTGGACTGGATTATGCGTCAGACAGTGAGTGGGAAACGAGAAGACAGGGAGGGATATCCTGGACTGACCGACGTGAAGAACCTAGAAGACCTGGATTTCGCGCGTGGATGATTTATGTTTAATGTCACACCAAATCGAAGACTTACAAGCAAAAACCGACAAACTGGTCGAAGAAGTATCAAAGACAGGACTCCGAGTGAACATAGACAAGACGGGGGTTATGAAAATAACCAGCCAACAACAACAACATCCAGCGTCAATGACCATCAACGGGAGAGATTTGAAGGAGGTGATTTTATTCACTTACTTATCTAGGGAGCATCGTCTCAACTACAGGAAGTCGGAACGGACGAGGATGTCAAATCGAGCGAGAATCGGGAAGGCGAGAAACACACACATTCATCAACCTGAAATCAATCCGGAAATCTTCGTCACTCAGCATCAACAACAAAATTCGGTAGGATTTTCAATACAAACGTCAAGTCAGTCAATTCTTCTATACGGATCAGAAACTTGGCGGGCGGGCGGGTCACAAAGAATATTTCCAACAGCGTGTTACAGGCATAACCTTTATCAACAACTGTCTTCTCTGGCTCTATACTGAAGATCTGATGGCCTGGCCGGAAAGAATCACCAACAAGAAGCTGTGGGAAGAAACAAAACAAGAACCAATCGCCAAGTGGAGATGGATTGGAAACTCGCTCGTTGAGGAGGTCGGTTGGTGACATCGCGCGCGCGTCAGGTCATTGCTCGATTGGAACCAGGCCGGAAGGGAAGCGGCGAGTGGGACGTCAGTGCAAGGGTGAAATGGAGGAGATCGTGTGAAGAGGAGTTCAAACAGTATGGACTAACATGGATGCAGGTGAAAAGTACAGCAGAAGACAGAAACAAGTGGAGACGTGCAGTTGAAGCCCTATGTTCCACTTGGAACCCAAGGGAGCAATAATAATAATAATAATGGTGACACTATCTTCATTACCTTATAGTATTGTGTTATTGACAGTAATGTTATTATTCGTAACATTTTTGATTTGTACATTTTTACTCTACTGTTTTTGCTAATGTCAAAAGTTGCTGTTGTTAATTGTGGTTAAATGAACCCTGTAGTGTCTTTCTCCTGTCGTTGCTGTTCAGTATTTTTGTACGAAATGCCGAAAACTCCACACTATTTCATGAGCACTGTTTTGGAACAAAGCAAATTATTATTATTATTAAACCAGTGAGTGCTCTGGAAGATGTAACAGTGGTTAGGACTCTTGCCGACCATGCAGATGGTCCGAGGTTCGAGCCCGCACCGACGCACACCTGATATCTATGGTCGGCCTGCAAAATTTGGGCTACCGATATCCATGCTGAAAATTCCATACTTGTACCGAAAATACTGTGTGGAATCAAGCTGTAAATCAAAAATAAATAAAATAAAAAAAAATAAAGTGAAGTGTATTCATCATCGTAAGCCTGTCTATTATTATAACGATAACAAGTGATTTTGTGACTACAAGAATCTGGAAAGAGTACTCCTCATTCAGACAGACTTTTAAGTCATTATATTTGGAGTAGTAGAGGCGTTGGACAATCCATCTAGGGAGTTAAATACAGAAATTTATCTACACAACACCTGTGTGGAATGAAAGATTCTAGTATTCACCAACACTTATTGTTTATTAGGCAATTCAACCTTCTTCACTACTATTGTTTTTGGTCACAAAAGCTTATAATACTACTGAAATTCCCACACGAAAGTATACAGAGTGTAGGTTGTGAACCTGAAACTTATACGCTGAAATGTAATTGAAACTACCAAGAACGTTGTACTGAAGTTAAGGGTGGGTGACTTATTTAATGCTGACTGGTTTCAACTTTGCACAGAAGTGCCGCAGTTCTAGTCGCCACACTCCATAAAGCACACAAAGCAAAACGAAAGATTTGGAGATGTTAGGAAAAAAGAATAGCAACATAGAAAATCAACAACAGGATGCTCTGTGGGGGGATGATAGACCACAGAAAGTGAATGAATCTGCGTCACTGAGGAGGATGATTTTGAGCCAATTGTCTCCAACCACTGGTGTTTAAAAAAAATAAATACCGTCCCGAGGACCCTAACCAGGAACTCTTCACCTTCCCACATGGCTGGCTTAAACTAACTGTTGTGGATTTCATTCACTGATATAGCCATGTTTCGGTTTGACCACCACTGGCTAGCTCTTTTCTAACCTGATCCATCCTATGTCAGCTAACACTGACCATTGTTGAGGAAGGCGATTTATGGCTAGGCAGGTATGCATAACACACGTCCCAACCATCTCACTTAGTCGATGTAATTTCACAGCCTCATCTATTGATTTCCTATCTAGCACTCGACCGATACCTAACCTCAATATTGCTCACCTTATTATACCATTTCACACGAAAGATAGAACGCAACCACCTATGACCAAGGACAGCTAGTCGGCCTTTTCATGTCTTCCACTTTTAATGGCCATACCTCACAGCCATAAAGGAAAAAAGGCACATCTATTGTGTGATACTATCTGGCTACCCAGACTTATGTAGACAGAGCGAGGTTCCAACCCGAGTCACACTGAGATTTGGAAGTCGAGCGCCTAGAGGCTCACTCCAGAAATAACGCATGTCTTGCTATGACCGCCTGTCACACCACTAACTATAGATGTTCATACCAATTAATAGTATGAGTTACAAAATGGTTTAAACTAGTAAGTGTGATATATTGGGACTAATATCAGTAGTATGGGTGTGTTGGCCTTTTCATATTCTCAAAATGATGCATTTCATTTTTCAAATCCTTTTTAATTCATTGTCATTTTTCCAACCTGCTTGATCAGATGCAGAATTGTTTCACAGCTGACAATCAACTTATTTTATTTGTTATCAGAAATTCTTGGTAGTCGTATGCACTCACTCTATGGGCTATTCGAAGTTAATACGATATCTAGACATTCGACTAATAAAGATTAGTGGGATTTTGGACAGATCAGTAAATAGAAAACCCAGGTGGGATTGCCTTTTGAACAACTTTTACAACTGGGTACCCATCAATCGTAAGAGAAACCTGAAAATATCTCTTGCGGTCCTGAATCAGTAGAAGAGATCACTCTGTTGAGAAAGACACTACTTGAGAATGGCTACACTCCTTCCCTCTCAGGCTTTATAGATAAACACGTAAAGCCAAAATAACTAATAAATGACACCCAGCTCTGCACCGAGGAACATACTTTCAATTAATGTAGAGGTCAAAGGGAACGTTCTGGATGAAACACTGAAGCAAAGAATATCTAACAGCCTGAAAGGGAAATTTTTTTCTCTGCTACAATACGACTGGCATTCTCTTGCTAACAAAGGTTCTTCAACAACTCCGAAGGCAAACAATCGCATTTGACCACTTCTATATGTATCTATCAATTTACTTGCTCATGTGAAGCGTGATATATATATATATATATATATATATATATAGGTCAAAGAACATTATCCCACTTGGCTACGAAAAAGGCAACAGTGGATCGATGAGGAGTGCTGTAATTGAACATATACTCAACACTGACCACTCAATATGCAAGGAGAATTCATTCAAAGTTATCTATGAATTCAAAAGAAGCTTTCCAGAAACGATGAGCTATCGCCTACTTTGCATTGTCGAGGCCTTAACAATTCGAATCGAAAACCCTGGCTGATGTACTCAGAAGAAACTTTCCCAACCTTCCATTCTACCTTGGATGTGATTCCAAGTTCAACTATTTTATGAATTTTTCGTTTGACATTTTGGTATCTTAATTTTCTTAAGTAGACTTTTATTTACTCTTTTCACTTATTACGTAATTTTTTGATACTTGTCTCCATGCTTTTTCGTTAACATCTAATTTTTTCCCTGAACGCTTTCATATTACAAAACCCCGGTCTAAAGTTACTGATCTTTACCTCCCCCCTCCTCCTAGTTACAATTTTAATTATTCACCACATTTTTTGGAATATTTTGGTGGCATAAGCAACAACCCAAACTAGTGTTTATCCCTGTTTGACACACACACACCAAAACAATAATATATATATGATTACGACTGTACAGCTAAGTGAATGAATTCGCTGAAAAGAGACTCTTAGCTAAACTGTTTGTTCTTATTTCTAGTACTAGATCGCTCAACATCTACACATCTAAACAACACTGAATCACAATCATTTGAGAGAATAGTAGGCAAAAGCCTCATAAACGTAATTGGCTAAGTTCTCAACATAAAACTTTCCGCTAGTTCAATTCGCCACTCTATACAACCAACAAACGTAGGCGAAAAAAATTCGGAGGAGCTGTCATGAGAGCCGGGATTTAAGGAAGAAAGAAAGAAAGAACAGTAACATGAGATGTGGGAGATCACAAAGAGTGAATGCATCTGAGTCACTGAGAACGACTTTGAGCCAAGTCGCCAAGCATTGGTACTTAGCACACCTGAAGGAACTCAGTCAGGTAGTCCACACCTCCTTGTGTAGCTCAAATAAGCAGTCAAAAACTTGATTGACACTATATCTTTTCCAACCTGATGCTATCTCGGCTAACATTGGTCGATGAGAAAGATGGTGACTCAGTGGGCGCAACACGTATCCTATCCATCGCAACTGATGCAGTTTCACAAAGTGATCGATTGACTTATCCGACTAACTTAACACTACGCCTAAACTCAATATTACATGCTGTCTTATACCACTTAACATGCGAAACAGAACGAAACATCTGTAGTAAAAGACAATTAGCAGCGCCTCTTCCTATCTCTTACTTTCAACGGCCACACCTCATAGCCATAAATAATAACAGAGTGAACTGCTGTAACGTAAATGGGTCCTTTTATGGATAGCTGGATATCTCGCGTATTACAGAGATGATAGTGGATGTGAATTGCTTTCGGTCGTTTTATTTTAATTCTAACTGTTGTAGTCTTTGTAGGAAATAAGAATAACACAGTATGTTCAAGTTTATAGCACAAATATGCTTTATTCGAAGAACGAATGTCACAGAAAGCAAGATAGTAAATATTAACATGATATGGTTTGGCAGGGTGTAGGATAATACAATTAACCTTGTATAAATACAAAAAAAATTAATTTAATACATACATTCCCTTTTCAACCTGATCACATATAGTTTTAATTTGATTCGTAAAAAATTCATAATTGAATGGTTGATTTGGAGCGTAGAATGGATTCTTCAGCACAAAGTCTGTATACGCTTCATATACCCTACGAAGAGCTTCACGCGATGCCATTGGTAATTTGACATCAGTGACCAGTAAGAATTTCACACCTGTATGCGTCTCTAAACAATGCACACGACAGCACTCTGTCTCTAAAGTTTGAATGCCTGAATTCCAAACACGTGGAGTTTTCTTGTCACTAACAGCCGGTCCAACAAAATTACACTTGGTATCTGGGATAGGCGAAAGAAGTCGAGCCATTGAGTGTAATGGATGAAACATGCTGGCAAGATGAATACGATCGTTTGGACGTAGTCGAGGTCTGCCAAGTTTCACAGTCAGTGGGAAGTTGCTTTTATCTGAAAAAATCTTTAAAAATAAACTGCATGTCTTACAATTGTAAAAAATGTAGTAGTAGTAGTAATAGTATTATATAACAATGATGAAAATTGCGCACAAAATTCAGTTATTTACAATTAAATTTATAGTAAATTACTTAAGTATAACCAGCTAGACGATTTATCTGAATCTACAACTGAACCTCTAAAATTCTCTCTGTATTTTCACTAATTCCTTTGCACAAACGTACACCTCTCTCCGAGTCACCCCACTCCATACAGCCCACAAACGTAAAGAAAAGAATTCAAAGAAATTTTAATGAACAGAGATCTACGGAAAAGACACCAAAGAAATGGAGAGTAATGAGAACTTGAAGGATATGATTTTATAAAGAGTGAATGCGTCCGTACTATTGAGAACGCATTTGAGCCGCATCACTACAGCAGTCTTATTCCATTAGTTTGAAACTGTTGATTCAACAACTACTCTGATTTGATGGTTGGGCGTGAATATCGCTTTAATGCAACGAATCATATTAGTTGGAAGGATTGTCCCTACATGTTCTACTATTTCACCAAGGTTGGTTAGAAACAGACAAGACCGAAAGCAGTCTAAGTTATATTCTAAGCCATTTACACTTTGATAAGTATCTGAGGGCTACTCTCGTTTAACTGTAATAAGTCGAAGTTAATCTGTTTGTCACATAGCCTTCTGAGCTTTCATGCAGTCGATTCATCTTATAATTCCGTGCGACCACTGCCTAATTATATTAATAATATTATTACTCCCTGAGATTCCGAGTGAAACATAGGGCTAAAGCAACACACCTCAATTTCACTCTCTTTGTTACTGCCTTTTTTTAACGGGTCCCAGATTCCACATAAGCCTTTCCACAAAATGCTATCGACCAGAGGGCGTGTGTACTCCTCAGCAGTCCACTCCGCCCTCCTTTATGGCTGAGGTATGACCATTAAAAGTGGAAGGTATAAAAAGACTACATAACTTTGATCATAGGTGTCTGCGTTCTGTCTCCCGTGTGAAATGCTTTAACAAGGTGAGCAATATTGAGGTTAGGTATCGGTCGAGTGCTAGATAGGAAATCAATAGATGAGGCTGTGAAATTACATCGACTAAGTGAGATGGTTGGGACGTGTGTTATGCATACCTGCCTAGCCATAAATCGCCTTCCTCAACAATGGTCAGTGTTAGCTGACATAGGATGGATCAGGTTAGAAAAGAGCTAGCCAGTGGTGGTCAAACCGAAACATGGCTATATCAGTGAATGAAATCCACAACAGTTAGTTTAAGCCAGCCATGTGGGAAGGTGAAGAGTTCCTGGTTAGGGTCCTCGGGACGGTAAACACCAGTGGTTGGAGACAATTGGTGATATGGCCAAAAGCCCTTCTGAATGACGCATAGTGAGTTGCAAAGTGAGTCAGTCTTCCATTTCTGTTTATCGAAAAATCGTTTTCCACACAGTAATAATCTCATGTCTAAGTAACGTGAATTGCCTAATACCTAAAAAAGCGCCAGTAAGAAACATATTTAACCTTACGATATAGTCATTATTTTCGCTGTTGAATCTTACTGAAATTTAAAAAATATATTCACGTACACATGCATGTATAAAATACTAATCTAGTAGGATAATACATAATTTTTTTTTGATTTTTTTTTTGATTTACAGCTTGATTCCGCACTGTATTTTCGGTACAAGTATGGAATTTTCAGCATGGATATCGGTAGCCCAAATTTCGCAGGCCGACCATAGATATCAGATGTGCGTCGGTGCGGGCTCGAACCCCGGACCATGTGCATGGTCGGCGAGAGTCCTAACCACTGTGCCACCGACGCACTATATGTTAAGAAATAACATTGAGTAAGTGAAACGAATAACAGATTTAAAAGTAAAAAATGTCAATAAAGTGGAATTTTAATGAATCCATCGGATATGTTCGAACTTCTCAGCTAAATAATTTCTACATAAGTGGCAATGCATAAATCATACCAAGAAAGGTCATATTCAAAGTACTTATATATATATGGGAAATTTCTTCGAATTTTTGAAGGATTGCAACATTGTTGTTCGCAATTTAACTCAACTTAGAGTGCAAATCCTGATTCTGCACTAATCGCGAGCACCAATACCAAAGGATCTTATTTCAGTAATCACACATATTTGCTTAAAAAAGGTATGGACTTTAGATTTATACGTGAAATTCAATTCACTGAAACTTACTTTCAGTATATCCCTGTTGTCCTCCAGTAAGACCCCTTTCGCAGGCATACCATCTACAGATATGACAGTATATCCTATTTTAACATCGTCAGAAGCACCAAAATCCACTATGAGTCTACCATCAACAATCTTAAAATGGAAAGGGAGCGGAAATTCATACTTCTTTTCAACGTCCACACAAACATCTGAATGGTCGTAGTAAAACTGAAGTGAGCCAGACTCGCTTATCACATAAAAGCCATATACACTCATTGTTAACAGCACTCCCAGTCCAGGCGCCAACGAAAGGATAAAAAAGTGAAACTCTGAAATTTAATCTACAAGCCAAAAAACACAGTAACAGTGAAATCATTAAAGGGAAAATCCAACAACCTGCCGGACCCTGACCTTGACCTTAAGACGGCACGCGTCTTAAATCTGCCGGGTTTTCTATCGTTTCTACGAGCTAGTATAAACCAATTTGATTTATTTGTGCTCGCTTCTTGATTGTGAGGTATAGGTTCCTCATCTTCGGTAAATTTCTGCGTAGCTCGTCCCGCCACTCGACTGTCGTAGCTCTGGTTGACTCCAAAAGGAGTAGTGCTGAGATTAATTATGTGGTTTGTAATATGAGGTGTGTTAAGACTGTTACTACTTTGAATGGAGTTGACCCTTTCACCAGTTAGTCGTCGTCAAAAGAAAAGAGGTAATAATAATGGATATAATTAGTGAAGTTATTCAGACTAACAGACAGTAAAAGAGAACGTAACAACAGTCAGCTGATTAAATTTGAAGAATAATATGAATTATATATATAATGATAATAATAATATGTATAGTTAAAGTTGTCAGGAGAGTAAGACGGAAGAGAATGTAAAGAAGTGAAGCGACGAACTTAGTTGTCTACCCCTGAATGGTTTATGGGATTTTAAGGGTATAGGCCACTTGGATACAGTCCTTGTGTCGCTGCATGATTGTCCAGCCTTCGCTTAAAGGCGTCTGCAGACAGTGCCATAGCTACATCTTCCGGTAAGGAATTCCAGGGACGCCAAACCAGCAGTGAAAAGAAGTGGGAGCGCACCCGGGTCCTTGCCCTCTGATGAACTACCCCTCTGGGATTTCCATGAGGGAGCTTATATCTACTGTGCGTCAGTGGCACAGTGGTTAGGACTCTCGCCGACCATGCACATGGTCCGGAGTTCGAGGCCACGCCGGCGGACACCTGATATCTATGATCGGCCTGCAAAATTTGGGCTACCGATATCCATGCTGAAAATTCCATACTTGTACCAAAAATACAGTGTGGAATCAAGCTGTAAATCAAAAAAATAAAATAAAAAATACTCAATGGCGGAACACCTTTGTTTGGGTGATGCTGGTCATTTGTTATTTTATAGGCAGTAATTAAATCCCCCTTAGACGTCGGTAGCTAAGTGTGAACAGTCCCAATTTCTTCAGCCTTTCATTGTATGGTATATTTCAGAGACAAACCACTCCTTTTGTCGCCCGTCGGTGGACTCTTTCCAAGAGATTAGCGTCTATTCTAAGGAGTGGAGGTGCAATAATATTATGCACTCCAAGGTGTAGTCTGACGTATGTTTTTTACAACTTTAGAAAGAGCTCAAGAGTGAGTGCACCTAACTGTCTATGTGTAAAGTGTATGACCGCATATGCCCACGCTACATCCCCGTGTAATTTGCGCTTGTGTCCATTTTTTCCGTTAGAACTAGACCTAAGTCACGTTCTGACGTTGTGCAGGAGAAGCTTTCATTGCACAGGGTGTAACTTGCATTCTGCAGTCTACAGGTGGATAACTTAACTACTTTGCACTTTTTCAGGTTGCAAGTTATGCCACTGGGCACCGCGCAGTCTTCCAGAAGGTTTCGATCTTCCTGCAGCCTATCTGAGTCACCCGGACATTTTATCACCTTCCATATCTTTACGTCGTCAGCGTATAGAAGAGTCGGGCAGCTTAGACAGCATGGCGAAAATGGAGAGCCGACAACAGTCGGAAAATGAAGGTTCATAACAATCCAGAAAACGTAATACACAGTTTTACAAAAAGTTATCCGCAAAAAGTTCACCAAGAGAAGTTTAGGCCAACATACCAAATAAGTCCGGCAATGGACAGCGGCACACACGTTTGTGGCGAGGTTGAGCACTTGAAGGTCGCTTATGTACATAATGATTAGTAGATTTTCCTTCGCGTAAAAGTTGCGGCTAATATGTACTGCGCGTTACTGAGAGGGGCTTTGATCATTATTATTAATATATCCTTTAATTCCTAGAGGAACATAGGGCTTCAGCTGCGCGTCTCCATTGCCTTCGCTTTTCTGCCAACTTTTTCACTCCGCTCCAAATACGCTTTCATTCCCTCTTCACATGACCTCCTCCAAGTCACCCTCACCCTTGCACTGACGACCAACTCGCCACCCGCTTCCCTTTCGGGTTCTACTCGAGCAATGGCTTGTCTAGTGATGTCACTCACTTGATGGTTTCCTCAGCGTATGACCAATCCATTTCTATCCATCTTCCTGCCCATAAGATTCGGATTTGTACACACCCAAGTTATATTGAGGAATTACTTCAAGCTTTATTTTTTCCCAAGTATTTTTAATCCATCCAAAACATACTTGGGTTTTTTTGTTAATGCGAAGACAATATTCCTATATTTCATGATGTGCTCCATTGAATGACTTGTTATATTGTGGAATAACTTCAAGCTTTATTTTTTCCCAAGTATTTTTAATCCATCCAAAACTTACTTGGGTTTTTTTGTTAATGCGAAGACAATATTCCTATATTTCATGACGTGCTCCATTGAATGACTGGTTATCATATTGTTCCCACAGACCTAAGACAAAAACGCCAGCAACCATGTAACCTAACCATAAACCGAATTTATGAAATTTATATAATGCTTATCCATACCTGTATATTTGGTGTGTCCTACACAAGTAGGAAAAAATGTGTATTTTATTAAAACATTATTATTAATTATGACTGCTAATCGTATATGTAATTTATCATATTGATGATGCCTGTAAACTGGCGTCTCTCATGTACAAAATGAGAATATACTATTATTATTATTTGCTTCACAATCGGTTCCTGGTTGGTTCGCTCATTGCCAGAGATCCCTGTTACTGATTTGACGCGCAAGTCAAGTCTCTGATCCGCATAGTGAGTAGCACTGACTGACTTCACATTGGAGTCGAAAATCCGGATCCAATTTTAATGGTGAGTGCTGTTGACCTCCACACAGACTTAGGGGTAATAACAGCCTGTCTTGCTTTTCCGATTCTGGCTTTGATATCCTCGTCAGTTCCATCCTCCCAAAGTTGAAACGATACTTTCCAGGTAGGTAAACGGGGTTGTTTCTTTCAGGTTCCTCCCATTTATGCTGGCTGATTGTTGTCTGTGGTTGTTGTTGCTGTTGGCGCTGGCCAGTAATCTTCATCACCTACCTCTGTTTTCTCTATGTTCACCTGAAGTCCTATCTTCTCTGGATGCTTCTTCTGCCAACTTGTTGCCTTTCACTTGCATATCTTCCAGTTTGTGGGAAATCAGGCATATATCATAGTGGGCGAAGTCCAGATCATCCAAGTTTTTTGTGTGAGTCCATTTCATGCCTGCTTCCCCATTGCCCGTTGTCTGCCGCATTATCCAATCTACCACAATCATGAAGATCATTGGCGATAGTAGACAGCCTTGTCTCACTCCCATCCTCAATTCGAAGGATTCCGTGAGTTTCCCGTTGTGGATTATTTGGTATGCAGCATTATCCTACAACTGCTGGATGAGATGTATAATTGTCGACGGGACCCCGTAGTAGCGAAGTAGTTGCCAAATGACCTCTCGATCGACGCTGTCGAAGGCTTTTTCAAAGTGGATGAAGTTGAGATAGGGAGGTGACTGCCATTCCAAGCTTTTTTCAATGATGATCCGTAGAGTGGCGATTTGATCAATACATGATTTGTTTCTCCTGAATCCAGCTTGTTTCGGTCGAAGCGTTTCATCCAGGGTTGCGTGTTTGATTATCTCCGAGATGAAGCGGCTTGGTATTTTGCTTGGGATGGACAGGAGCGTAATTCCGCGCCAGTTTTTGCATTGACTTGAGTCTCCTTTCTTTGGTAGTTTGAATAAGTATCCTTTCTGCCAATCCTCAGGTACTTTGCCCTCTTTCCACACCTCCTACAGTAGTGGCGTCATCAAGTCCGCCGTTGTCTCTGGGTCTATTTTCAATGCTTCTGCTGGGATTCCATCTGGTCCTGCTGCTTTTCCAGCTTTTAGCATCTTGATTGCATTCAGGACTTCTGATTTCGTCGGGGGGTCAATGTTCACTGGTAGTTCTGCTTCCGCTGTTGGTATCGTTGGGCGTGTTGTAGGTGGTGGACGATTTAGAAGTCGTTTGAAGTGTTCAGCCCAGTGTTTTCTTTTCTCCACCTCTTTGGTGATTGACCCTCCATTTATTTATTTATTTTACTTTTTATTTTCGATTACAGCTTGATTCCACACTGTAATTTTAGTACAAGTATAAAATATTCAGCATGGATATCGGTAGCCGAAATTTATGCAGGCCGACCATAGATTGCCATTCTTTACTAACTCAATCTCTGTCAAGCTATTCCCCGATAGGTGCCTAGTTGTTCGGTAGAGTGTGGCGAGGTCTGCTTTTCCTGCAGCTTGTTCTGCTTCACTTCCCATGGCTTCATAATATTTTCTTTTCTCTTCCCTGGCACTCTTCTTCACTCTTTCGTTCAGCGTGTTGTAGCTTGCGTTCAGCTCCTGTTTTCGTTGCTCGTCGGTGCACTGGATAATCTTTTGTTTCACTGTCCTTCTCTCTTCTATTAGTTTTCAAGTGTCCACGTTGAGCCACTGTACGTCCTGTCTCTTCTTTCTGCCTAGAACTTCCATGCAGGTTTGGCTCCACACCGTTTTCAAGTTGTTCCAGTGCTTTTCAACGCCGACCTCTTCGCTAGTGTTGATTTGTGTCTCGGCTTTGTCCTTTAGGCTTGCAATGAAGATGTACTTTGTAGCCTTGTCCTTCAGCTTTTCAGTGTTGAACTTGGCTTGTGGTCTGTCTGCAGCTGCTGTTTCCCTGAAAGCTTTTAGTTTGATTTGGATTGTCCCTTGTACGAGATAGTGGTCTGAGCCAGCGTCTGCTCCTCTTCTTACTTTTGTGTCCAGTAGGCTGCGTCTCCACTTCCTTGATCAGCATTGAGATGAAGTCAATTTGGTTTTTGGTTTGACCATCTGGTGACACCGATATAGCCTTGTGGATATCTTTGTGTTTGTATACACTGCCACCAATCACTAGTTCGTTGAAGGCGCAGAAGTCGGCGAAGAGTTCTCCATTTTCATTCATTTCTCCGAGAGCTTCTCTACCCGAGATGAGTTCCCTTCCTGTGTTGTCTGGTCCCATTTCGGCTTTCATGTCTCCCATTAGTATTTTAATGTCACCAGCTGG